CAGCCTGCCGTCATACCTTCATTAGTTTTGTAGCTTCCCATGCACATGCACTCACGAGACCATCAGAGTTGATAGATGATGGAGTCCAGGAGCTAGAGAGGCTCCTCTCAGTGGGAGCGTTGTAGCAGTTGGTATACGTAGCGACAAATGATGACTACAAATTTTCGCGCGGTGGGAAAATCTGCGCGCGGCCCACTTTCGCGCGGAATTATTTATTTACCAGATCTAACAGCATATCCCTCGAGGTCGGTCGTCTTCCCACCCGCCTTCTCCTTCCCTTTCCCAACCGCTAACTCCTTCTTACTCTTCGTCCGTTGCATCTTGGACATGGGCTTGAACACACGCGAAATGCTAACTTGGCTGTTTAACACACGTTTCTTATTGACCCTACGCCGCGCGTTCTTTCTGTCTTCGTTCTCGTTCGAGAGGAATGGACAGGGAGCGAGAAAGAGGAAATGTAGCCGCGTGTGGGTTCGTTGTGTTACTGCGGCCTGAGGCCGTGGAAAGTACCGGGAAAATGCTGTCTAGAAGTAGATGGTTCGTGGGATAGCATTTGGGGAGGGTCAGCCGTTTCAGCAGAGGTGGATCGTTCAGTGGCTGGGGACGATGCGCGGTCTGACAAGGGCTGCGCGAAGACTTTGGACCGGAGGGTGGCACATTACCGCCTTATTTTGAGGCCCAGCATCAGTTTAAATTGATTGGCGAGGGGACGCAAAACGTACTGAGGCTCGATAAAGTCTTTGCGTAATATCTGCATTCAGTCGCCTTCGTCCTTTATATCGCACAACTTGCCTGACAAGTCAATGTAGGCAACTGACTGCCCGATGGACAGTTTGTCCATGAAGGACTTCCAGACTGTCTTTGAAGGTGAGGAAAGGGACAGCCGGCTGCGAACGAACAGACCTTGCGTTTCTTTGGCAAATTTAAAGGTGCTGGAGGTGGTGGAGCGTTTGGGTAGTGGTAGCTTCAACGGATAGAGAGTAATTGTATCTGTACTCTTAAGCCTCGGCCACGAAGAAGACGGGTGAAAACCGACTCACTCTCACCTCCCCATCCGATCTAACCAATGCTTCCGCAACGGATTATTCATGCAAGATCCATCGTCATTCACTGATGCCACAAAACGTGTGTATACCTCCTCATCCCACTCAAACGCACCCTAACCCAACTAACACCCGTCACCAATCCCGACATCGACAGTACACCCGTACCCGCCATCCGCCTTCTCTCCAAACTCTGTTACCTCTCCATCGCAGATACAAGCATCGACATGAACGGGTTGGGGACGTTGGCAAAGACGGTCGGTGAGGAGGCATGGGATGTGGATACTGAGGTTCCGTGGGGATGTGAGGTTTGCATTGATAGTATGAGCATTTCCCCCTTTTCTCTCGCAACGTTCTGATGCTGATTTATCTAAAATATATGCCAAAAGCGTACCCCCTGCACCGGTGCTCCCCATTGATAACCGACCAGGAGGCATGCAGCACTCTATCGTGGGCTGCGCTTCGACGCAATCTATCTGCTCATGCGGAAAGCAACCTGGCGATTGTGGTGGGTGGGACAAAGGATGAGGTGGTGTTGAAGTTGGAGGGATCGTTAAGGACGAGGACGTTGGATTCGTTAGTTAGGAGGATGATTGGGAACTGAGGATTGATTGTTGGTGCGAGCGAGGAAGGTTTTTGAGTGGTTTTCTGATTGTGTTTCGTCTCCTGTTTTCCGCTCTTGTCTTTCGTTCAAGTGTTGCACGTTTGCATACATGTTATATCAATGTTTTCGCCTACGAGACTTTTCAATGATAGTTGATTTTTAGATCTACAAATCGACAAGAAGCCTAATACATACAGTATGTGCAGGCTGATAGCCGCTCTTCCCCATCCACGTCGATCGTCCTTCTTCGGTCCAACAGGTGTCGGTTTTCTAGGTGGATGGCTTACATCCCCACTCCCATCTTCAGTCGTAGTAATCGCAGGATTCGTAGCAGGCGGCAAGTGCGAATAAGACGGCGTTAGTCACTCATATTCCCCCGTACTAGGACTCCTTCCCATCACACTCGCACCGCCCGACGTCAACGTCGCAGAAGCGCGTATACTCCCTAGATTCGAAGGCAACCCAAGGTCCAAAACAGGATTTGAACCTATCGTAAGACAGAGGCACCCCATGCCGAGGAGAAGAAAGGTTGGTTGGATGATGAAAAGCACAGGAAGGAACTTTGAGGCGGGTGACAAACAACCACAGATGTGTTGGGTCAAACTCTCCTCATGTCATAGATCACTGGTGGTTTGGCTGCAGGGGTTGCCACCATCGCTGGTGATGTACACGCCTTCAAGAAACACGAGGAGCACAAAGAAGGGGTGCAGTGTTTGATGTTCGTCGCATCCCATTCGCTTCGCTTGTTGGCTTATCGGTTGGAGGAAGCCAAAGCGCGTACTGCCTAAGCGTCGGTAGAGAAAAGTCATGTACTTTGTATAATTGCAGGGCGTTTTATGAGGTGTGTCCATCTTCGGGTTGGGGTCGTCTTGCCCAAAGTAGCCAGCCAGATATGATGAGGGGGTGGAGGAACGAGGTGTGAATTCGACGAACCCACAAAATGGGACTGCACGCCCTGAGGTAAACATCAGCCTGCGAAGCCAGCCCAAGCTCTGCAGGCGGAAAAAGGTCAGTCGCGAAGTTGAGAATCGTGATCTCTGCCCCTTCCTCTATCCTGGCGCTCCCGTTCGGTATGATGATTGATCGCCCTCTTTCCGACAGGGGTAGTAGGGAGACCACCCGTAGGCAGCATCTGGCAGCATACGGCGACGTGCTTGACCCTTCCAAAGCCCGGCCACCCCCCTGAGGAACCATCTTCCCACTCTTGGGTTGAGCCCGGAGTTCACCCTCGCCCGATTCCGATCTGAGTCCGACTTTAGCTCTGGATGCTTTGGCGGCGACGATCCCTGGCGGTTTGTCTGCGCCGCTCACTTCTTCTGCTGCGCGTGTGGTTATACGGATGGCGTACCCCATGCAGACGAATACTCCCCCGATGACACCGACGCAGCAGAGGAGGAGTTGGAGGAAGGCTGTGGTTGGTTGGCGTTGTGTTATAAAGATAATGCCTGGGGTTTCTTACTGCATTATGCGGATGTAGTGCGTTAAGCCGTATTGGTGTGTTTGGAGGGGCACGGAACGAGGGGCAATGTAGGTTCTCGGGACGACGTGTAGGAAGTATTGGTACGCTACGAAACCTGTCTTGGAGTGCGGTTAGGTGGGGTATTGGAAAGGGAAGAGGTACCTACGTGCGTGTATGGATTCGGACTCTGTGATGACGCGATGACGTGCGAAAGGTTCATCTCTAACGGCAAAGTAAGCTTGGATGTGGGGAAGAGGAAAGGACTTACGATTATGCTCATAGCTCGCATGTGAAGATTGCCTTTGCTATATGTCTCTACATGCATTGCCGTGTGCTTGATTGGTTTGATGTTGGACTTGTGTAACGGACGTGACCCTCGCATACCACTCCTTACCCAATCTCGGTTTCAGTCTTCTCGTTTTAGCGCTAACGCGCTCTTCATTCCTTTCGGTTCATCGCGCAGTGGAAGATATCTCAACAGGCTCAGATCCAGATTACTCCAGGTAACGTACCTCGTTCATTCCCAGATCCACAAAAGGACTCACTCGACTACCAACTCAGCTCAGTACGCTCGCTCATCGATACGATATTCTTATCGCGGTCACTCACCCATCCTCACGCTAGTGGATCTCATGGTTCCTCTCATCAAAAGGCAACGAATACTTCTGCGAAGTAGACGAGGACTTTATCCTCGACCGATTCAACTTGACAGGCCTAAACAACGAGGTTGCGAATTACTCGCAGGCCCTCGATCTTATTACCGATAACCTAGGTAAGTCTTCCCCCTCACCCACATCCGTTCATTTCAATGACGGATCCCGCTAGACGACGACATCCAAGACGAACTCCGGAGCTCACTCGACGTCCAAGCACGCCTCTTATACGGCCTCATACACGCCCGA